GAGGCACAGAGTCACAGGAGAAAGGCAGGAACACGAACATGAGGCTTGCAGATAGAATGATAAATATGTCACTCTGTGCTCAGAGCACCTGTGATATGCATACTATGTCCTGAGTCTAAATGGTTTAGACAAGGTCACCCAGCCAGAGAGAGGACTGGAGGCACTTGATCTAAGACCTACTTTAATCCACTTGACCATATTTACTAATGAGACAGAGACCATTCTACCCTGTCACATTTACAATGACACAAATTAATTTTCCTAAGAGTTTCTACAAGGTCTTTTTTTTTTTTACTTTTTGCATTTCAATTGCATTGTATGTGATCAATTTCAAGTGCAAATGAATTGCAAGTGGAACATTTCTGAGAGCAACGGAGTTGTACTTGACATTTTGGGGTCCCAGTAGCTAAGTACCTCTCAAAAAGGTCAGTTACAACTTTGTTGCACTGCAAAATGCCAAGGGCAACTGAGTAGCAATTGGAAATTGAAAAGGAAATTATATTCTACCCCAAATCAGTCACATGGACTCTGAAGAAGGACTTCTGTTCTATTATTTGTGTGAGAGGGAAAAGGAAAATTGTCCACTGGTGTTGAAAAATTTTACCCAATAGATATTCATCTCTTTGCATGATTTATGAATATTGTTTTGCTCCTAATCTATCTATGCCTTGCCAAGTGCTCATTTTCTTTCCTTGATTTGTCTTAAATCAAGAATTCTGTCACCAAAGAAGACTGCAGATTCATGTTAATTCCTCTGTATTCTTCAAGCTTAATGACCCCGATCCTTTTCAATATCTCAGGGAAAAAAAGGTAGACAAAATATGATCTCTTCAAATAGATAGACTTCAAAAATTTTCTACTTAAGAAAAATGAGCTATTCTTGTTGTGGTTGTTCATTTAAGATTAGATTTAGTATAACAGTAGTGGGATCAAGAAATCAGAAACATATCTCTTGGTAAAATGAACCAACATGGGTTCAGTTTTACATTAATAAGTTTTACAGGGTGGCCATAAAGTTCATGTGCAATTCAAATAGTAATGGCCACCCTCAAGGGGTAGGTGATAGTGGTGATGTTAGAAATTGAGCTTGTCTCTTATAAATTAGACTTTGTGAAAGCTGTTAGATTGTTTATCTGCATGTGAATATCCTAGTCGGGGTAAGGAAGCTGTGGCCTAAAGGCCACATGTGTCCCTCTAGATTTCCAAGTGTGACTCCCCCCCCACCCCCCGATCAAAACTAAATTTCACAGAACAAACCACTTCAGTAAAAGGGAAATTTGCATTTGATCACAAGGCCTCACTCGGGGATACTGAAGGTCACCCCTGGCCCCAGAGTCACATATTCCTCACCCCTGTTGGAACTTTAGTCCGTTTTGGATGAGATCTTCTCTTCAAATTAGTAGTGTTTCAAACATAGGATGGCATAAAACAGGAGACATTTAGGAATTAGTAGACTAATATGTTCTTCTGACTATCTGTCAAAGTGTTAATGAAGTTTTCTATTTTAACCACATTGATGTGGATCTTATCAATTATATAATTTCATCCAGTAAATAACCATTGAATATGTATAGTGTCTGTTAGGAATTCAGCACTAACTTTGGCACTGGAGATAGAATGAGGCCAAACCAGATGAAGTTGATCTTTTCCTCTATGGATTTCATAGCTCAGAAGGTTAAAATAAGTATTAATGAATAATCTAGGAATAAATATATTTCTTTGTGGTGCCACAGGCATGGGAACCAAATTGATTTGAGTCTGAACCCCACCTCTTCCTTCCCTCAGTTTCATCACCTTGGGCAAGACACCAAACTCAGTGAATAACAGTTTTCTCAATTGTGAAATGAGGCTATTTCATGCCAACCATGGAGAATTGCTGCCTGAATACAAAAGTATCATGAAAGATGCCTGCAAATAACTGTTACAAGAAGTCATGGTTCTTCTACAAATTGTCCTATTAGATTACGGAGTCTTTCTTCTCCCTCAACCCCAGTACATTATCTTCCTCAACTAGAATCCAAAAAACAAACAGGCTCTTTTTCTATAACTTAAAGGTAGTTTATCGAAGTCATTGTCTGCTCAGAAACTGAACAATGACAAGGTAAAATTTCCTTTAATTATGTTAAACGCACACTATATAGCAAGTATTGCACTGAGTATTCACTAATTTTATCTTACTTAAAAATTATAACAATCCATACAGTAGATACAATTTTTATTTCTAATTAACAAAGAGAAAATCAGATTTCAGATATGAAATTTCTTGGTGATCAGCTGACTCCGAATACAGGTCTTCCTGTTAAGTCAACATGGCTTTTTTGGATACTGCCGGTTTCCCTGTGCCTAGTCTCTGAGTTTCAGGATTGTAAGGTAGGCTTCTGCTCCCTGTGCTCTTCCTCCACCTTCTCTGCTTCACATCCTTTACTTTTGGCTGTGATGACAAACCGCAGATGTGCCAATATTCTGCTACCACTTTTGTGCTCTGGCAACAATTGGGGCAAATTAATGTTCTAATTGAACGAGTGACTTTCTGGGAAATAATCACAATTCTATTTAATAGGCCTGCCTAAGCTAGGAAAATAAAAAAAGAGAAAAGGAAAGATGTGATGAAAGACTTTTACCCTGTGAACGGCAAAGAACATTAAGAAAGACTTAGCTGATGATGCAAAGTCTTGCTGATGTGGAACAGAATGGTCAGCAATCAATTGCATAAAAGAAAGAAGTTGGCAATTATATCTCAGTGAAAAAGAAAAAAAAAAGGAAAGTGACTTCATTTACACTGTAGCTTTTGCTACTTATTTGGGATATGGGGCAAATAACCATATCTGTTCTATAAACTTAATTGAAAAAACAAATAAAACATAACATTGATTCCTATTTCCATGTAATACAAATATAAGAGTAAATTATATTGTATAATTGAATTCAAAAGATGTCTTATAAATATTGAAGGCTGGGCAGTGCCTGTGGCTCAAGGAGTAGGGCGCTGGTCCCATATACTGGAAGTGGTGGGTTCAAACCTGGCCCTGGCCAAAAACTGCAACAACAACAACAACAACAACAACAAAATACACACACACACAGAGACACACACACGTACACACACACACATATATATAAGGCTATCAGGCTTAGAATGGGGAGGTGAGATAAATAACCTTTAAAAATTAGAAACTCAAAATTTCTAAGATTCTTTAAAATTCCTATGCATACATATATATACAGGACCTATTATACCATTGCATGTAGGGAATTCACATAACTAATATAGAAGGACTTTAAGATCAGCAACAAATATTTATGTAATTAATAAATGAACAAATGAGAAGAAAAGCCATCCCAATGCACTTATTTAACATGGGGAGTAGGTGAAAGCAGCCATAGCCTCAAGGTCTTTCCATAATACTGTGAAATAAGGCAGTCATCCATGACGGGAGACATTCAACAGGGAGAGATTGAAGGGAAGTAGTTCTGGATGTGGGACATAAAGCACAGTGGGTGGCAGGAGTTACACACGGCACTGAAAACAGGAGAACAAGTTTAATTGTGCATTCTCAGTGGCAAAATTCCCAGTCTTCTTCCCACACTCTAATTTCAATGTGCATTGAAAGGCATATTGAAACAGATATGCAAGTGTAGACTTCAGTTAGTCGGACTTTATTCCAGCAAAACCAAAAAGAATAGAGCTTCATAATCTAACATTTGGGGGTTACTCAATGAAAACACTAGTTACCTAACTCCCTGTTACCCTACAGGTCACAAGTTAACAAGAGTTTCCATTCAGGTTTCTGTTGCTTCATTTTTAAGCATGAAAGCACAGCTAAGAATATCCATATATCACGGACGTGTCAAACTTTATAGACAGAACAAACAAACAACAAATGAAGACAACAGAGACAGTATGAGAGCAGAAGAAAAATAAAAATCAAAACAAAAGACAATTTAAAAACTCAAATCAAAACAAACCAAGAAAGTAACAGAGATGCTGAATTTTACTTCTCCCCATCTGCCATCTTCCCCCAAAAGAGGAAAGAATCATATTAAAAAAAGAAAAGAGTTTGGAAAACAAGAGTATGTCTGCCAATAGAAAGATGGGTTGATAAAGCCAGAAAAGCAGAACAGTGTAAGATGGGAGTTGATATTTGTGATCTGGAAAAACTCTGAGAATTGGAGTGTAAAAGATGATGCAGCTCTCCAAAAATTTCTAGAATATAACCCAATTCTTATACCAAGCTGTATATGTATTTTACCGATTTCAAAAGTTCTTGTGGTGGATTTAGCGAACTTATCAAAAAGAGAGTAATAACTTAAGAGATCACTATGGTAATCTAAGAATTTCTAATTAAAGCTTGGTCTCTGCCTTTATAATTTAGGCAATTCCAATTCACATTTTACTTTAGCTGAAACACTTATTCATTTGTTATAGTTTTATAAACTTTTTATATTTTCTTGAGCATTATCAGCAGTAGGTCACTGTTAAATGTGTATATTAAATACAACTCTATAGACAATCACTATATAGTTTCTTATACAAATCTCTCAATATAAACAGCTTACAGAATGAAGTGGTGTCTTTTGAAAATATGAAGTGCAGGTGAGTGATTGTATCTCTCCCAGTGGACTGTGTGTCTCTTATGTGCTGTATATTTAAATGTTCTTGTATTTCACATTACTTACAGGAGTTGAGCTTACCTCTTGTAAAATTAAAAAAGAGATGGCAAATAGAATTTCTATACAAACACTATGGTTTCATATTCCCTGGGTGGTTTGTCAAAATTCTCCTTCTTAATAAAAATTAGAAACTAAATTTAATCCATCATTCTTATTTTCTTCATTCATATACTTGTAATTTTGTTTTTAAATGGGCTAATATAATTCGTTCATGATGTGAAGAGATTTTTATTCTTTGGAGTTTTAGAGCACTAATCACATCACCTTATATTCCCACCCCTATACACAAAAGAACAACAATAACAACAAAAATAACCATAAAACATTACCTTGAGCTATGTAAGGTGTGGCTTTCTCTTTTGGAGGTATATTTGTGGGTCGGGGTGTAGGGGCAGGAGGTCTATTGATAATGAAAGACCGACTTCCAGTTTTTTTCTTTATACTCATACTGGCCAGTATCATGTCGTATTCCCTGTCATCTATTTCAGTGAAAGTGTATGGGTCTTCTTCCTCCTCCTGCTCCGTTTCATCTTTCTTTTCTTCTTCCCCTTTGGGTTCATCTCCTGTTTCTTGTCTTACACCTCGATCACACCAGGTTTGACTACTTTCCATGTAGCCTTCCACCGTTGTCCCTGCTCATGAAAAATTTAGATCATTTACTCTTCTACTAAATAGAATGCAATTTTATTGGTGTCCATCTGTTACTTGCTTGAGCTTCTCTAAGTGATTTAGTCAAATGCCATGGGAAACAATATAAGAGATAGGAGTCTGTTCTCAGAAAAATAATTTATACATTTCTCTATAAATTCTAAAAAGAAAGTAAGCTGTGAAACTTACTAACATATCCTCCTACAGCTTGTAATTCTTAATTTTATTAAGAAAAATACATTGTTTAAGACATTGAATAAAATACTAGCAAACTGAATTCAAAAATACATCAAAAAAATAATCCACCATGACCAAGTGGGCTTCATCTCAGCGATGCAAGATGGTTCAACATATGTAAATCAGTAAAGTGATTCACAACACAGACAGAAGCACAAACAGACCATATGAGCATCGAGGTGGAAAAAGAATTCAACAAAACTGAGCACATTTTTATGATAAACCCTCAACAAAGTAGGCATAGAAGAAATGTATCTCAAAATCATAAAAGCCATATGTAACAAACCCACAGCCAACATCATATCAAATGGGGAAAAGTTGAAATCATTCCCCCTAAGAACTGGATCAAGACAAGGATGCCCACTGTCACCACCTCTATTCAACATAGTGCTGGAAGCCCTATTCAGAGCAATTGGGCAAGAAAAAGGAAAAAAGGGCATTCAAATTGGGAACCAGGAGGTCACATTATTGCTTTTTGCTGACCGTATGATCTATGATCTTGTATCTAGAAAATCTCAAATATTCCAGTGGACTCCTAGAATTGATGAATAAATTTAGTAAAGGCCTAGGTTACAAAGTCAATGTAGATAAATCACAAATATATGTATATAAATCAGTAGCAATTCTATATAATAACAATCAAGCTGAGAGTCAAATCAAAGACTTAATATTACTCACAATAACTACAAAGAAAATAAAATACCTAGGAATATAGTTTACCTAGGAGGTAAAAGATCTCTATAAAAAGTACTGTGAAACATGAGGAAAGAAATCACAGGGGGCCCAAAGAAATAGAAAAAAATATCTAGCTTATGATGAGTGGAATTAATGTTGTTAAAATGTCCATACTACCCAAAGTAATTTATAGATTCAATACAAAATATCAGCATCATATTGTACAGATCTACAAAAATTAATTCTACACTTTAGAACCATAAGAGAGCCTCAATAGCCAAAGCAATCTCAAGCAAAAAGAACAAATCTGGAGGCATCAGAGTACCAGACTTCAAACTATATGATAAGGTTATAGTAACCAAAACAGCAGGGTATTGGTATAAAAACAGAGACAGAGACTAATGGAACTAAATAGGAAACCCAGATATAAACTCATCCTCCTATCAGCAGCTGGCAACTTTGATAAAGCAGATAATAATGCACACTGGGAAAAAGAATTCCTGTTCAATAAATCATGCTGGGAAAACAGGATAGCCACATGCAGAAGAATTAAACAGGTCACCTTTCTTCCCCACTCACAAAAATTCATTCAGGATGGAAAAAGACTCAAATATAAGGCATGAGTCATTAAGAATTCTAGAAGAAAATATAGGAATACTCTCCTAGATGTTGGCCCAGGCAAAATATTTATGACTAAGATCCCAATGACAATCACAGCAACCACAAAAATAAATGGGACTTGATTAAACTAAAAAGCGTCTGCATAGCTGAGGAAGTTTTTTCAAGAGAGCAAACAGACAACCTACAGAATGGGAAAAAGTATTTGTAAAGTATACATCTAATGAAAGGCTAAAAACCACAAGCTTTAAGAAACTCAAGCAAATCAGCAGGATAAAACAAACAACCCTACTACACAGTGGATACAAGACATTAAGAGAAGCTTTCCAACAGAAGATAGAGAAATGGCTAATAAACACATGAAAAAATGCTCAATGCTTTAATTTGCATTAAGAAAATGCAAATTAAAGCCGCAATGACATACACATATTACCTTATTCCTATTAGAATGGCTTTATTAAAAGTACAAAAATAACAGATGTTGGCATGGATGCAGAAGAAAGGAAAACTTACACATTGTTTTGGGGACTGAAAAATTAGTAAAACCTCTATGGAAAATGGTATGGAGATTCTTCAAAGAACTAAAAGTAGATCTATTGTGTGACCCAGAAATCCCACCAGTGGGTATCTGCCCAAACGAAACAAAATTATTTTATCTAAAAGACACCTGCACTCAAATGTTTATCGCAGCACAATTCACAACTGCAACTAAGTGCAATCAATCTGAGTGCTCATAAATTCCTGAGTGTACTAACAAAACGTGGTCTATGAATATCATGAAGTACTTATTACTCAGCCATAAAGGATGAATTAATGCCCTTTGCTACAATTTGGATGGAACTGGAGACCATTATCCTAAGTGAAGCGTCCCAACGATGGAAAAGCAAACGTCATATGTAGACACAATTAAATTGGAATTAACCAATAATCACATGTATGCACAGAGGGAAATAAAATTCAGTGCAAATAAGCAGGGGGAGGTGGCAGAAAGGGAGGGGGGACCCCACCACCTAATGGGCACAATGAACACTATGTGGGTATTGGGCAGACTTATACCTGTTACTCAGCATTACAAAAGCAATCTATGTAACCAAAACATTTATACCCCCTTAATACTTTGAAATTAAAAAAAGATATAGAATTCTTTGAAAACATAAATATTTTCCACATTTCACACATATATACAAAATGAATGATTTACTACCAGGGCATTGAGTTTTAAATCTCAGCTCCAAACTCTAAATGCTTTGTAAACTTCTGTTTTTCATGCATAAAACTCTTTATTTTTTTTCTTCATTTGAAGTCATTTTACCTTTCGTATTGCTTGTGCTAGATGTTTTGCCTAAAATTAAATTTCTCTAAAAATGACGGGAGGAAATAGCCAAAGGCACCATCACTTTGTTTCCTAACAGTTAGTCCCTGGCTATGACAAATTGACCTTCAAATATGCAACTCTTAATTTCTACAAGCCAATATGAACCTTATTGAGAGATGAAGGGCACCGAAAGTAAGCTTTATGCTATGAAAGACAGCAGCGATAATCAATGGTTTGAGAATTAATTTATACGAAAAGAACAAAATTATAGGTTTCAGAACTTTTTTTATATTCAGTTAAATCTTCATGAATTTATATAAGAATGTATTAAGATATTTTAATATCAGTTATTTAGAAGACAAAGATATGATATATTTTGATTAACACATATATTGGAAAGAAGAGTTTTTATGTCTCTTTAGTAGGCCAGTGAGAATTCCTGCCATCTCTCTCTTTCTTTTCTTTTCTTTCCTTCCTCCTTCCTTCCCTTCTTTCCTTTCTTTTTTCAATTGCTCTTTGATGAGTAAGAATCTGACCCCCAAAATTGTTTACTTATGGGGATTTTAGTGAAAAAACTAGAAGTGAAGGAAAAAAATAAGTAGGGCTTAATGAAAGGATAATTATTATAACAAGATTCAGCAACTGTTACAGGTAAGTTTATGAAGAGAGCCCAAGATAATTTCCCAACAGAGGTTTAAATCTTATTGTTTCAGTTAGTTCAACCTAAGTATTAATCATCTACATTCTTTACCTAACCTTAAAATCAACCACAACTTGCCTTTTCCCTTGTGAAGATTAACTTTATGACTTCTGTTTCGCTGACAGCATCACAGGTGAACCCAGATTAAGTGTGTGGGAACCACTTTTACAGTGTTTCATTTTTAGTGGAATGTGTCAGCTCCATTACTTTTATACACTGATTTCCTGAGTTGTTAACTGCCTCCCCACTTACCCCTCTTCCCAGGTATTTCTAACTTTGGGTTTTCCTTGATAATATACATGTATCTTTTTATTTTCCAAAGTGTCTGATTACATTTTTAAGGTAAGAGTGGGACTTGAGCCTTCCCGATTCAAGTGGTACATTAATAAATAAACATTACAATAAATGACTTCCATAATTTCAACTTTTAAAATAATTGGGGTGAGAGTATGTAAAAAAGAGGAGTCCTAAGGAAGCCCCTTTGAAGCCTTGGACACATGCTAATTACAGGCTCCGTGGTCTTGGGTTTGAGTCAAAGAGAGATCCGATAGATACTTTTCAGAATTGTTGTGTGGGAAAAAAAAAAGACAATGGGCTCTTCGTGAACTTCAAAGTGTTCCATGGTGTTCTCTATTATTAATTTCTCCAATGACTAAGTTCACAAATCCATTATGAAGAATTTGATGCATAGGACATGGAGAAGATGGCCTTTTATTTATCTTTTGAGTAGCTTGAGTGCAGGTGGAAGCTACTTTTTTGTTTTGTTTTGTTTTGAGATGAGGTCTCATAATGTTACCAAGGCTGGAGTGCAGTGGCAGGAACAGTTACTGTAACCTAGAACTGCTGGGCTCAAGCTGTCTTTCCATCTCAGTCTTTCAGAATAGCTGGGATTAAGCCATATACTACTATGCCTGGCACAGCCACACTTAGAGAAGAATTCCTGAAGATATTGCTAGCTAATATCAAAGAGCCCATGCAAGGTCTCTGGCAGGAAATAAGTGATAGCTTGGAGCCTTATTTTTAAAGACCTTAGTCTAACAACTGTAAGACGAAATGTCTGTATTTTATTTCACACTCACTTCCAATATCAGGTCTATGAAAAGATGAGATAAAAAGTAACACTGCATATAGAATGTAAAAAAAAAATAGAGTTTTGAAATAAAAGGAATGGGTTTTGTTTTAGTTTTCTTTTTACATTTGGTAGTTTTCAAGAGATTGGTGATCTGACATTGCATTGCTGGTCTTAGATATCTGATGAACATTCCTGGAAGAAGAGTTTTAGATCTGCTAACCAACATATCATTGACAGAAACTTACATTGGGAAAAACATGATTTAAGATCACTTCCTTTAAGAGATTTAATCTGACAGAAGACAACTTTTCTTTCTTTTCTTTTCTTTTTTTTTTTTTTTGCATTTTTTGGCCCGGGCTGGGTTTGAACCTGCCACCTCTGGCATATGGGGCTGGCGCTCTACTCCTTTGAGCCACAGGTGCCTCTGCCTTTCTTTCTTTTTTAAATTTTTTTAAGAGCGTTTCACTTTGTCATCCTTGGTAGAGTGCCGTGGCATCATAGCTCTCAGCAACCTCAAACTCTTGGGCTCAAGTGATCCTCTTACCTCAGCCTCCAAGTAGCTGGGACTACAGGTGCCTGCCACAATTCCTGGCTATTTTTAAGGCCGGAGTCCTGCTCTTGCTCAGTCTGGTCTCAAAGTCCTGAGCTCAGGCCATCCACCCTTCTCTGCCTCCCAGAGTGGTAGGATTATAGGCGTAAGCCACTGCACCTGGCCCTCAAACTTGCTTTCTTAATAATTACTTTTATAATATAAAATTATTCAAATCTAAAAAAAAGAAAATCCCAGAATTCTGTTGTTAGTGTACTATGCTTTCTTCCTCCTAAAATGTTATCATGTCTACTTCATTGATATGTCTGTAAGAGCTTGAACCTGGCTGGTAATCAACAATACTTGTTGAATGAATGCATGCATGAATCAGAGGAGTGTTCATTAGATTTCAGTGCTTTCTGTTAAGGAATACTTTCCATCCCTAAATATAGTGTATAACCTTAGCAAGACTTATGTTGATAAACATGAGCCTCAGCAGAGACGATCCTCAAGGATACAAATGGATCCTCAAGGATACAAATGATAAATTTCATTACTACAAACTTCACTTTTCGAAACAGTATTTATGTACTTTGTAGCCTTCTAGGATTTGACAACTAAAGTACACTGACAAATGGGGTTTTGGTAGTGGAATTTTTTCCATAAGAACATTTTATGAATGGAAGGCAAACATAAAATAATGATCAAATGTGCATGATAATTAGTGACTGTAAGAGTGAAACTGCAGCTGGAAGTTTTTCAGGTTGTTGTCAACTCCAGGCAAATAAGGCCAGTGTGGAGGCTTGTCATGCCGTCTGCCAGGCTTGAAGACGGTACCTCCTACTCTCGCCCTGCACACTCTGGTTTCTGCGTGTGGTTCAGGTGCAAGGGCAGCTGTGTTAACCGCTCTTCCGTGTGGCAGTAGACTTTGATCTCAGGGCAGTATTCAATAAACCCTTCACCACTTTGTTCTCCCACAGCTACCAAATGAGAGTAGTGCCCAAGGTCATTTGCAAATTGTTCATGAACATTAGCTTTTCCCTTTTGGCTAACGATGAATAGTACTTTTAAAAAGCAATGTTATCGTTTTCTTTTCCACAGGATGTCGGGGGTTCATTTTATATGAAGAACTACAGACTCCTTCCAAGTTTTATTTCTTTACTTTCTTAAATGAGAGTTTATTTCAGATGAAAGGGTAGGGGGAGAGAGGGAGGGAAGGAAGAGTGGAAGAAAAGAAGGAAGGAACGAAGGGAGGGAGGGAGAGAGGGATAGAGAGAGATGTCTCCTTTTTCTAATTTCCTAGACCCTAGTTATTAAAGAATAGGAGAAAAGTTGCTCTTGGTTTCAAAGGCTGATCTTCTCTGTAGAAATTCTCTTTATACATCTTTTCTGTATAAAGTGTTGTTTTTATTTTAATCTGAAACTTACCTTGTACATTGAAGTTGGTTTTCTCCAGTTGGAAGGCCGTGGGTATAGGTCGCGGTGGGGGGAGTGGCGGTCTGCTGCTCACAAGTGGCTCTTCTGAATTTCCAGCTGGCTCAGCTCCAGGTATGAACACATACAAGTCATCGTACTGGTCCTCAGAACTCACACTGCCAGCCTCTGGGGGGCTGCGTGCATCCTCCTCATCTGATCCAGTCTCTTTTTCTTTCTGTGTAGAGTCAGCGCCCTCTGCACTCTGCGTGTGTGTCTTCCCACCGATGTGATGAAATCCTGGGTGCTCTGTGGCTGTTTGTGATGAAGATTGCATGACTTCATTTAAACACTCCATCTAGAGGCATTTCATATTTGTAAATTTGTACAGAAATAGGAGTACCGCTAATGAAACTTTTATGACCTGATATAGTGGAGAGCTGTCAAATGCACAACTTTAAAGTGAATAGTCATTTCCATCTGGGCTTTGAACAGTCAATGCTGCATTATTTCTGGCTACATCAGTACGTGACACACTCATGCATGTAATGAACTGTAATTCTTTAGCGTTATTGTTTGAGCAGATTCACACAGATCTGACATATCATTACATTTTTCTTACAAAACAGTATAACTGATCCAATAAAATAAGTAATAAGTGATTGGAAAGGTAAAGAAAAGGAAGAAGAAATAAACCTTGACTTGCTTATAAACAATGATTGCAAATTAATCTCTGACTCTTAGTTATAATTTTATTTTTTTTCAGTTTTTGGCCTGGGCTGGGTTTGAACCCGCCACCTCTGGCATATGCGGCCAGGGCCCTACTCCTTTGAGCCATGGGTGCTGCCCCTTAGTGATAATTTTAATATGTATTTATTATACATGTTGTTATAAATGCCACAGTAATTTTATGATTTATTATAAACAATTGGTTACAGATATTATATTAATTTTGAAAACATTACTTGGGACAAAGAGTAGTATTTTTTGATGGAGAAGACATCCAAATCATCAATAGTGGGTAAATTTTTCTGAAGTTCAGTCTTTCCCATATAAAATGCATTCTATCTAATATTTAACCAAATAACTCAAATTTCCTCCACTGAAAGAACCATTGCCATCGTTTGTGTTTATATCATATGCAGTAAGTGCTCTTTAACCCCTCAGGAAGAAAGTATAAAACAGAAATTATAACAACTACATCTTCAAAAAACTTTCATCGAATATTCTTTTAAAAAATTTCTCTAAATTAAAGATTCAAAAATATTTAAAACAGGCTTTTGGAATGCCTCAACAGACTTTGGAACCCCATAACACACTTTAGATTATGGGAATTGCCATTGTTGGTGTAAATAATTGTATCAAAATGTTGCCAAAGTAGGGTATAGCTAAACATCCCCAAACATCAGAGTGTAGAGAAGGATTTTTTTTTTTTAATGAAGAATTACACTATAGGACATTTTCTCCAGTGGGAGAAAATTTAATCATGTGGACAAATCCTGCCCATAATGATATCCATATTACTATATACAATTTTCTTTTTTCTTTTTCAGGTGAGAAAAAAGACAATGCTTCCAGTATTAAAACCAACCCAAGATTCTTTAATTACCAGACTGGGCAGAGCAGATGGACAGTCATTTTTGCACAATCTATGCACACAGATTTCATCTATCTTTCTACCCCAGCACAAAAACCCTGAGCCTGGAAAAAAGTAATGTCTTGAAATATTGATGGAGTAGATGATGGAATGACTGAAAAATTATTGCTCAGGCTAGCAAAGGGACTTTACTGTTCTTTCTGGAAAAAGCAGTTAACTTGGAATTACATTCATAATATAGGAAATTACCTTTAGCCACACTTTCTTTTATGTATTGAGTATTTCTCAACACTGAATAAGCCACAGTAGCTCCATTCTACTTGTCAACTACACCCAGCCTGGAAATGCAGCCCTGTAAAGTCTGGCTTAGTGGGTCAGTGGGGTATAGCATGCTTCACAGTAATGAAAATCTGCTGATTGCTGGTATTCTGTGCTTCACCCCCTCTCTCAAGGAAGAGCCTGGGGCCTTAGTCTAATTACATAGTGTTTCATACATCAGAGAGTTCACAGTTCCAAACTGTAGAGATAAGATTTTTCTTTATATAACACTGAAAATTTTTTTCTTAATATGGTCAATTCTTTTGAAAATTAAATATCATAAAGAATACATGGTCATTATTAATGATGGCCTTTTTTACCATTTTTATTGTCATTAAAATGATAAGCTATATAATGTTCAAATTTGGTGCATGAATTCATTAATGTAATACTTAGCATTTTGGGGTATTCCACAATAATGTTCCAAGGTGTTTACTAAGTGTGTTAGTTAAATCATTTGATTGTATTTAATTTTGATTTGTAGGTCAGCCTGCCATTTGAAGGACTTGTGGTCAATAACGTTTAACTGACCTTAATGTTTAACTATTATTAATGGAGGGAATACAACAAAACAATAAAAAAGTCTTGATCTCCTTATGCATGTATTTTAGAAGGAGAAGACAGGCAATAAAACAACAACCAGATAAGTAAAATATAGTGCTAAATGTTGATAAATGTAATAAAGAATAACACAGGAAAAGGGAAACGAAAAGGAATCATAGAGGAGGGGGTCGTATTTATGAAGGAAGAAATGCTGAAGCAAGCCATGTGGATATATGGAGGAAGTGTGCAGAGGAGCTTGGGGTGTGACATATCACTATGGCCATGAACAAACAAGGGAGGAGTCAGACATGGGACCAAAAAGATTATTTAGGGACTTGTAGGTGAAGAGAAGGATTACGAGTACAATGGGAAAGTGTTGGAGGATTTGGAAGAAAAGCCTGATTATTTCCTTCATAAAGCATAGAAAATGAAGGGCACCAAATGGACAAGTTGCTATTATAGAGTCTTTAACAGTACGACAAGTTTAGACTTGGATAATCTGTAGTTGTGAGAGCCTGTCCTAAGCATTAGAAGATACTTAGCCCTTCTTTCCCCACTGTGATATTGCAGTAAGCCAGAGAAGAGCTGATGATAGTGTAGACTGGAATCAAAAATAATGAATGAGCAGAGAAATGGTTAAATGTTGGCAACATTTTGAAGGTGATAGTATTTTATGACAAATTGAATATGGGGGAGGTAAAAAAGTAAAAAGCCAAGAGTAGATCCAAGAATTTGAACTGACTTGAAAAAAAGGAGAAAGGAGTTTTCACTTACGGAGTTGGGAAAGTCAGCAGATAGAGAGGTTGGGGAAGGTGGGAGTTCGGGTTTTCAAAAATGATGTGTCTGCAGTGCCCATCATCACTAGTAAAGACATTGAGCCACTTACTAACCAATAGGGGGCGTTTATATACGTGTGGGAATACTCTTCATTAGTCTTCAGACATGACAATACAGAATTACAACTCTTAGAGCTGGCAGGACCTTAGAGAATATCCTAGTCTAACCCATCTCATTTCATAACTGAGAAAACTAAGGTTTGCAAAGATTGTGGTAATGTTTTGAAAAAAAGAAAGCAAAACAAAATATAATAAAAAAATAGTTGCCAAAAGGTCTTGTGCATTCTCTTCAGGTAGTGTTTGATCATAAAACTTTGAATTTATTCCAAGTATTTAAATCAGCAGTGTGGCAGTGTCTCCATTGTAGTAAAAAGACATTTTAGACATTTAAAGACATTTTAGACATTTCAGTTAACTGCCTTTTCACATTCTCTTCAGTCTTTCTTTTTCAGTTACATACACCAAAAAAGTCATTTATACATACAACATACGGAAAACTTACAAGGAATATATGTGGAAAATGAGATAACGTCCTGTTCATAATCAGTTTCTTGCTCATTATTTCCTCCGGTTTCTTGGATCTGAAAAAAAAGAATGTAATTTTCAACAACATGCATTAATCTTAATAAATCTGTATTTGATGCCCATGGAAACAAGGAGTAATGTTTAAGTTTTTATTTGAATACTTCATTATGTTACAGTTCTTGGATAATATTAGTACCCACTGACACATAGTACTAAAAGTATAACTGGGGAAACAGAATATTTTGTAATAGACAATAAATTGATTTTAAAATGAAATGTATTGCAACTACTTTAAAATGAAGGGAAAGATAATTGCAAAATTTAGGTGTAATAAAGAAATTCCAAATAAAATTAGACACAACTGTTTTTCTTAAAAACTAGTTTTAACACTTCTGTATGTTTTATAGTTCAAAAGATATGCTTAATTATAGCAAGTATTACAATACAGTGAAAGAGAATAAACTGACAAAGTGTTTTCTCTCCATCATATAGAGAAAACGAAACTGAGTAAAGGTATTTCTGTTTGTCTTTCTGAAATCTGTTCCGTTATATGTTCTTAGAATACAAAATTAACTGAGAAAGGGCAGAAATCTGTCATCCCCAGAATTGCTAGTCTTTGTTTCTAATACCTGAAGGTGACGTGGAGTGTCTGAATGTGAGTGTAATGACGCTCACCGAGAAAGGGGAGCAACAACAGTGTCAGTTCTAGTTGTACAAAAGCATCCGAGGAAAGGGATGGAGCTTTGCTGCATTAACACAGGTCATGTTTTGTTAACCATGACCTTCAGGTGATTATTCAAATGACTTATGCTTTTGTTCTTAATACAATTGGTTAAAATGGTTAGGCTATGGGCTAAGCATTTGGAATGCCCCTTTAAAAATTAGAAGGAATTAAAAGAATTAAAAATTCTTTGTGATGAACTGGAAAACAAAAAGTAATACAAAGGATTAATGAAACCGAAAGTTGGTTCTTTGAAGAGATGAATAAAATTGACAAACTTCTTGCTGCTTAATATGTAACGGAATAGAAAGGACCCACGTAAGCTCAATCACAAATGAAAATGAAGACATTACAGATGAATCTGCATATATACAAACATCATTGATGAATACTATGGAAATCTTTATGCACATAACTAGAGAGCTTAGAGGAAATGGACAAATGCCTGGAAACACACAACCTCCCAAGACTCAACCAGGAAGAAATAGAACTCCTAAACAGATCGGTGATGAACTGTTAGATTGAAACAGTAATAAAAAATTCCCAACAACAACAAAAAAGCCCTGGACGAGATCCATTCACAGCTGACTCCTATCAACCTACAAAGATGATCTGGTATTAATACTACTGAAATTATTCCATAATACTGACAAGGAGGGACTCCTCCCCAGCTCATTTTATGAAGCCAGTATGACTCTGATACCAGAGATAGGAAAGAACATAACAAAAGAGAAAAGTACAAACCAATGTCCTTTACGAATATAGATGCAAAAGTCCTTAATAAAATAGTAGGACATCAAAAAGAAAAAAAAAAAAGAAAGAAAGAAAGAAATAGTCCACCAGGAACACGTGGGCTTTTATCCCAGGGATGCAAGGATGCTTCAACATATGTAATTCAAGCAATGTGATTCACCACATAAACAGAAGCAAAAACAAAGACCATATGGTCATCTCAATAGATGCAGAAAAAACATTCAAAAAAACTCCAGTGCTCTTACATGATTAAAACAACCTCTCAACAAATTAGGCATAGAAGGAACATATTGCAGAATTTTAAAAAGCCACAAATGACAAACCCACAGCCAGCATCATACTGAATGGGGGGAAGTTGAGAGAACTCCTCCTAAGAACTAGAAAGAAAGCCCCAAATGCCCATGGTCGCCCTTCTATTTAACATAGTGTAGAAGTCCTAGGCAGAGCAATCTGGCAAGAGAAAGAAATAAATCCTAACCGTAGTGGGAAAGGAGAGGTCACATAGTCACTCTCTGCTGATGGTATAATCTTGTATCTAGAAAATCCCAAAGATTCCACCAGGAGAATCCTGGAATTGATAAACAAATTTAGCAAGATTTCAGGATACAAGATCAAGGTATAAAATCTGTAATATTCCTACATACAAATAACAGCCAGGCTTAGAGTCAAATCAAAGATTCAATGCTGCAAAGAAAATACAATATCTAAAAATATATCTTGGGTGGTGCCTGTGGCTCAAGGAGTAGTGTGCCAGCCCCACATGCCAGAGGTGGTGGGTTCAAACCCAAAATTAAAAATATATCTTATCAAGGAAGTGAAAGATCTCAATCTCTACAGGAAGAACTATGTAACTCTGAGGAAAGTTGTCACAGAGGATATAAACAAAGGGAGAAATATATCATACTGATGGATACATAGAATCAACATTATTAAAATGTCCATACTACCTAAAGAGATTTACAAATTTAATGCAAACTGCATCAAATTACCAAGGTCATACTTTATAGAACTAGAAAAAAATAATCTTATGCTTCATTTGAAACCAGAAAAGAGCCTGAATAGCCAGAGAGCCCAGGTGCAGAGAGGGAAGGGCAGGGTCCTTCAAACAGTGGGGAGGGGAGACAGGAAGGGGCAGGAACCCACCTAACGGGTACAATGAACATTATTTATGTGATGGGCTCACCAACAGACGGGACTTAGGCATTATAAAAGCAATCCATGGAACCCAAGACATTGGCACCCCCTTAATATTTTGAAATAAAAACTAACATTAGAAGTACCCATATTAAAGAATTTATACATTTACCGTAGCTCAGGTGTGCAAGGATATTTGACCTGCATACCAAGTGTCACCAATTTGGTTTATTGCCCACTTTGGCCAATGAGAGCCCAGAAAAACTCATTCTTCTTTTTTTTAATTTAGAAAACACTAATGTTATTTAGAGAAGCACCACAGCCTCCAATTCTTATTGGAATTTTGAAAGTAAACATCTGTTAAGCATTTTTTGAGTAATGCTGATGTAGTAACTCATTTTATACTTACATTGTATTTTCCCTATTGTGGATTCCACTCAATGCTAATCTGAAAAATCATGTAGCTTTTTCAAGAGGGGTTGACATGATTAATATTTATATCTTTGGTATTAAAATCATTGTTTAATACAGCTATTCTTTTTTTCCCCAATTATCCTGACCTACATATTTCATAAGATAAGAATATATGTTTTAAAATCCATAGTACTCTCAAAACCAGATCCAGGAATTTTTTTTACTAATTTTATAACAGAAATGGTTTTCAAACACTTCAGGAATTGTGCATACTTTTTACATATCATTCACAATCTTGGTCATTATGAGCTCAATATCACCATGAATTAATGAGAGATACTGGGAAAATATAAGTAAATATACGGAGGTTAAAAACCTAATGGAGTCAATTTTTGTATCATAACTTGAGCCATACAACATTTGTACAAAAAAAAAAAAAATAAACCTCAATGCCAAGAATGTGTGAAAGGGACTTGCCTCCAAATTATAAAAAAAAAAGGTATTTGATTAATCTGAGCACTTTTGCAAATATTATGTGCAATCAATACTTTATAAAATCAGGCTAGACAAAAACTAATTGTTTTCTTAACAGGAGAAGAGGATCATTAGAAATATTTGTGCTAAAAAACAAATGCTTCTTATTTGGCTTCTTTAACTTATAATCATTTATTTTGAAAAACATGCTAGATCTAATGATGTATTAGTAATTCTTTAATAAAATCAATGATGGCTTCAGAGACAAGTTTCATGGCATTCTGATATCTAATCACTTTAATAATTGGCTGTGTGGTGCTGTGGGCTGAGTGCAGACTTTGGAGTCAATTTTAGAACAAATCACAGCTCAGTTATTTATTAGCAGTTTGATACTGATTGTAAACTTAAATATTAAGCCTCAATATTTGACCATGAAAAACATAGCCAGTAATAAATACACCATCAGTTTGCTGGCATAATTAAGGTAGAATAGTGCATGGCAAACCCACATCCCATCTAACACATAGAAGTGCTTAATAAATGTAATATGTTTATGTTGGAATTTCCCTCATTACATAAAATAGACATCTACTTTTCAGCAAGCATGATTTCTTAATCTGAGGCTGGAGTTTGACTTTCTTTAGCCACTTGCCAACTAATTCTATAGAACTAGCGCATGCTAAATACTCTGTTAACTACACCTTACAAATGTAGACAATGTAACCTATATTCACCTTCATATTAATCTGAAATATAAAAAAGAAAAATAGATACAATTCCCACTCTTAAAAATATCACATCTTAATTTTTCAATTGAAAGAGGAAGACAAAAATGATTAGAATATAATCTTTTCTTTATTTCACTATAATAAACTCAATCTTTATAGATGACGTAGAGAATCAAGGCAAAAGCCTTATTCATTTGCTTTTGGGTGAGGAGACTGTATTTAAAGAATTATCTTGGCACTCACATTGAGTCTCACTTCTCTAAATGAAAGGTCAAGATTAAATGATAAAAATCTGCTAGTTAAACAGGCTTAATGAAATTTTTTGACCTATAGGTAGTCCTTGAAACACATAATGTTTAATGAGATTAAAATCATACATTATCAAAGAAAACTGAAAAGAGAACTTGTTGTTGATTGGGGTATGGAAAGCGCCACATGGCTTTGGCATCTGGTCCTGTACAAACTGATCATAATATTCTTATTTTGAGGAAGTGAATAAAAACAATCTTCACATGGCAGTTGGTATCTAAATCATTTTATGAGACTCTAATTGAACCAACTCTTGCCCAACTTTCCACAGTGTTGATCTGAAATGATTTCACCAGCTTTCAAAGCACATGGGAGTCTGTGGGATGAGAATAAGAAGACAAACATATGTCTGAAGAGTGAAAAATTGACCTTGTAAGATTTTATATCTCACCCCAAATGAATACACTAGATGATATTTAAATGGAGATAATAAATATTATTCTTAACAAGTGCTAATAACAATAAGCAATATTAAACTAAAGCCATGAAAAACAAGAAACAGAATTCCCTGAGATAAAATTTT